GGGGGGGGGGGGGAGCAGACAAGAAGACTTGCCACGCCGTACGATTTCGAGAGACTACCTCAATCTATGCTCCACCGTGCAATGGTGTCTGTTTTCATTTCTGCAACTTCAGAAAAACATGATCCTGTCGTCTTTTTGCGCGAAAACAAAGATACGAGCGCACCTCAAGGCAAAGTTGATGATCGATTCCGCCGTCTCTTCCGGCTGGTCCTCCTGAATGCTGTGCCCGGACCCGTACACCAGCTTCAGTTGGTACCTGTCGAAGAGATCACGTTGCGTTGCACGCATGCGTGCGCCGGGTTTCAAAGGAGTTCGTTTATTTCATCTACCAACTCTCTCTCGCGTCCTCTCTTCCCGTCTCCCATTTTCTATCTTGACTGGCCAGCATGCGACCAAGCATGTGCGTAAGGTGTTCTACAGCATCCCACGCCTACACATCTTTTCACTCCGTTCGTTTGGAACAACTTCTTCGGCGCTCACCTTCCTTGCATGTGAGCGGCGGTGAGCTCCGTGTCTAGCCTATCCATACCCGCCACTATCAGTAGCTGCCGCGCCGAACCGTGACAATGCGCCGTGCAGTTTGCCGTAGTCCGCGATAAAAATCAACGATTGTCAAGAGGTGCGAGGTGGGGACGGACGGGGGGGGGGGGCGAGGAAGTGCCTCGTGAAGAGAAATGTCACGGCGGCATTTTCGGCTGTATCCTGGGCGGTGGTTGGATAGACAAGTTCCTGGGGTGCGCGTGGTTCCGGCAGAAAATTTCGAGTACCTTTCGTTTGTCCCTAAGAACCATGGGACGTCGTATCTACATACAGCGCTGCCGCCGGAAAAAATAGGGTACAGCGTTTGGACCAAAACACGCGGTACACTTTGCTGATGGCATGCTGGCTCTGCCGTTCTTTCGTCGCCCTGAAAATCAATATAGCCACGCAGGTTTGTACTCGCCGTAGCACGACAAATGTCTGGGACAAACAAGTAGCAACGTCAGCAGTAGCAACAGGAACCGCAACAGCAACAACAACGACAACAACAATGGCAATCATCACACCAATAACAACAACAACAACAACAACAACAACAACAACAACAAACACAACGAGAGCAAACCTTTGGAACAGGCAGCTCCAAGAACGCCTTGGACATGCCCTCGAACCAATCCCGCCAGTGCCTCTCCGTCGCACGCAGGTCAGTTCGCCACTCAACCAGCCCATCCCGCGCTATCCCGCCAAAATTGAAAAGAGAAAAACAGAGACAGGATGTAGACCGGGTTGGCAACATGCTTAGATATCACCAGACGAAAGGTGTGAACAAAACGAAAGACATGTGGGGGAAAATACTGACGGGGATAAAAATGGAAGAAGGAAGAGTACGACCGGTAGCCTCGGCAACAGGTGCACGGAAATACGAAAAAGAGGGGACTGAGAGAACAAGCATGAAAACTAAATGTAGACAAAGCAACCAAGATAGGAGTTGTTGTTGTTGTTGTTGTTGTTGTCTTCACAATAAACTCGTTCCTAATCCCAAAATCTAGCAAAAGCTCGAGTCCGTGGTCACAAACATGCTAGAGCCACCAGAATGTCAAAGGAACACACACACGCCCACTTGCAAGGAAAAGGTACGATGCACAAGCCCGAAGTGCGTGCTACAATACATGAACAATAAATACCAAGACTTATCAGCGCAGAGCTCATGAAAAAAAAACACAAATGGCTACAGAGCGAGGAGCGGTCGAACTTGTTGCGAGAGTACCATGAGATATGCGGGGGGGGGGGGTACGTCTTGTGCCAAAGAACACAGACACGAGCAATCAACAGGCAAGGAAGCCCGGGGCCGGGTTCGTTGAAAGTGGCTGAGCGCCGGCAGCGGGGGGCCTTTCAACCCGCGGGCGGCGCGTCTCCTGACCTGGGTCCATCTTGAGGCGAGAAGGCACCACGGCGTGCGCCGAGGCAGAGTTCCTCACCGCCCCCGTCTTGACATGCCACTGCACCGCGTCCTCCATGCTCGGGAAACTTCGGGGAATCTTCCGAAGAATCTGAAACCGAAAAACATATTTCAAAAAGGCCATGGGATTGGGAGGCGTTTGTTTCACTTTGCCAGAGAGCGTGCATCGTGCAGACAAATGGCACCGGACAAGCGCTACAAAGTCATCATCGCCCTCACTTCGACAATAATGGAACGGCAACTGCAGCAGTCTGGGGCGGGGTGCCATAAGTTTGCTGTTTGCTGGTTGTTGTAGACGGCCGCGGGTAGAGATGGCGCTCATACGATCAAAAACTTCAGAGAGTTCGACGTGCGAGGACGCCATGATCGTCGGCCTCGACTTGACAATTAACAATCGTTCCCGGCTCTACCCCCGGCCTCGTGATCCGGCGGAATCTCCGAGGCAAAGAAATGAGGGCGGAGTACCGTGTTTCCGGGCGGATGTCTTTGTTGCTACAATTTCAAACAGCTTTTAGAAAGTATACAGAATATCACCGAAACACTACCCGTACGAAATGTAAC